TTAGTATAATTCTGAAGTAGATTCTAATAAGTTAAGATGTATGTGGTAAGTCCTAGAGAAACCACCAAGAAAATAAAAAATACATGAAGGGCCGGCCCGTGGCTCACTTGGGAGAGCGTGGTGCTGACAACACCAAGTCGAGGGTTAAGATCCTCTTACTGGTCATCTTTGAAAAAAAAAAAAGAAAAAGAAAGGAAAAAAAATTAAAGGACTTAAAATATTACACTAGAAAAGATTCACTTAATGCAAAAGAAAGCAATAAAAAAGGAATATAGGAACAAAAGGACATGAGACATATGGGGAAAAAGTGAGATAGCAGATATAAATCTGACTATATCAATAATGACATTAAATGTGAATGGATTAATCTAAACAAAAGGCAGAGACTGTCTGACTAGATAAAAGTCAAAATCCAAGTATATGCAGTCCATAGAAGACACAATTTATATTGAAAGATACAAATAGGTTGAAAGTAAAAAATTGGAAAACACGCCCCCCCCAATATCCACAACCTGCCCAGCAATGACCATGGAGCTGCCACTGGAAATGCCCTGGGCTCTCAAGCCAAGCTAGTTGGAGAATGAGGGCTTCAGCCACACCCCCTGACATCTGCATCCAGTCCAGGAATGACTAAGCTGCTGCTGGAAGCCCACTTGTCTCCGCTGCTGGAATGAGGGGGGTGCCATGGGCCTTGACCACGCTCCCCCTCCTTCCTCCTCTCCCCACCCTATTTCCTTCCCCCTTCCCTTCTCTCTCTACCCCCAACGACTCTGCAACAATATCTTAGAATGTAAAAAAATAATGATATTAATTAAAAAAATTGGAAAACGTATTTTATGCAAACAGCAACCATAAGAAAGCTGGAATGGCTATACTAAAATCAGACAAAGACAATTTTATTATTTATTTATTTATTTTGGCTGCTGGCCAATACAGGGATCTGAACCCAGGACCTTGGTGTTACCAGCACCATACTCTCCCAAATGAGCTAACTGACCAGCCAAAGTAGACTTTTTTTTTTTTTTTCCTTTTTGTCTTTTTTCATGTCCGGCAATGGATCGCAACCCTCAGTGCTGCACCCGCACCTCGCTCAGCCAGTGCACCGGACCGGGACCAGCAATGGAATCGCAACCCTCAGTGCTGCACCCGCACCTCGCTCAGCCAGTGAGCGGGAACCGGTCTGTATGTGGGATCCGAACCCTCGGCGGGAGCGCCGCTGCGCTCCCAAGCGGCGCACTGTAGCAGTGCGCCACCGGGCCAGCCCCCAAAGTAGACTTTAAAATGAAAAATGTTATTAGACATAAAGAAGGACAAAAAGAATGATGAAAGGGTTACTCCATAAGGAAGATAAAACAATTATAAGTATATATGCATGTAACAACAAAGCTCCAAAATACATGAAAGAGAACTGACAGAATTGAAGGGAGAAAAGAGACAATTCAATAAAAGTAGCTGGAGATTTCAATACCCTACTTTCAGTAATAAATAATAACTAGGCTGAATATCAACAAGAAAATAGAATATGTGAGCAACTTTATAAACCAACTAGACCTAACAGACATCTACAGAACACCCCACCCAACAACAGACAGAATACACATTATTCTTAATGTACATGAAACATTTTTCTGAATAGGCCACATGCTAGTTTATTAAACTAGCCTTAATAAAATTTGATAAAATTAATTTAATAAAATTAAGCCTTAATAAAATTGAAATAATACAAAGTGTATTTTCTGAGCATAATTAGAAATCAATAACAGAAAGAAATATGGAAAATTTAAAAATATATGGGAATTAAACAACACATTTCTAAAGAAACAATGTCAAAGAAGAAATCACAAGAGAATTAGAAAATACTTTGAGACACTGAAAATGATGACAACGTATACATACTTATAGGATGCAGAAAAAGCAGTGCTTAGAGTGAAATTTATAATTTAAGGTCTCTAAATCAAAGAAGAAAGATATGAAATTAGTAACCTAAGGTTCCACCTTGAGACACTGAAAAAAAGAAAAAAAAGTAAACCAGAAGGAAAAAAATGAATGATAAATTTTTTAGAGAGAAACTTAATGAAATAAAGAATTCAAAAACAATAAAGAAAATCAACAAAGCTAAACATTGGTTTTCTGAAAAGATCAATGAAATGGACAAACCTTTAGCTAGACTGTTGGAGAAAAAGAGAGAGAAGACAGATTATTAAAATCAGGAATGAAAGAGGAAATATTACTACTGGCCTTACTGTAATAAAAAGAATTGTAAGGGAACAATATGAAAAACTGTATGCCAAAAATTAGATAACCTAGAAACTACCAAAATTGACTCAAAAAGAAGTAGAAAATCTGAATCAACTTATAAGAAATAAGGAGATTGAATTAGTAATAAAGGAACTACTCAGAAATAAAGAAAAGTCTAGGCCCAGATGGCCCCACTGGTGAATTATACCAAATATTAAAAGAATTAATACCAATTGCTTGCAAACCCTTCCATAATCTGGGAGAGAAGGGAATACTTCCCAGTTCATTGTATGAGGCCTGACACCATACCACACAAAGCATCACAGGGAAGAAAAAAGCAACAGACCAATATTTCTGATTTGCATATAGAAATGCTCAACAAAATCCAACAAAAACCAAATCCAACAGCATATAAAAAGGATTATATACCAAATCAAGTGGGATTTCTCTCAGGAGGCAAGGTTGACTAACTGAAGTCAATGAATATAATACTCCAATAGAATAAAGACCAAAACCAAGATGATCATCTCAATAGCTGCCAAAAAAGCATTTGAAAAAATAAAAACAACTCAACAAGTAGGAACGGAAGACAGCTTCCTCAACCTGATAAGGGGCATCTATGAAAAATCCACAGCTAACATCATACCTGATGGTGAAAAACTTATGCTTTTCACCTAAGATCAGAAAAAAGACAATAATGTCCACTTCTATTCAACACTGTACTGCAGGTTCTAGCTGGGCACTTAGACTAGAAAAAAAAAAAAAAGAGGCATCTAGATTGGAAAGAAGAACTAAATCTATCTTTATTTGCAAATGACGTATCTTGCATACAGAAAATCCTAAGGAATTCATTGAAAAATAATTAGAACTAATAAGCATTGGCAGCAAGATTGCAGGACACTCTCTGTACCAGCCAGCTGTAAAAAAATAAAACAAAACAAACAAACAAACAAAAGATGGTAGGATACAAAGTTGATATAACAAAATCAATTGTATTTCTATAAATTAGTGTGATGATTAATTTTATGTGCTAACTTGATTGAGCTAAGGAATGCCCAAATAGCTGGTAAAATTGTTTCTGGGTGTGTCTGTGAGGGTGATTGCTGAAGGAATTAGCATTTACATTGCTAGGCTGAGTAAAGATCACCCTCATCTGAATAAAACAAAAAGGAGGAGGAAGTGCAAATTTGCTCTTTGTTTGAGCTGGGACATGCATTGCCTCCTGTTCCTGGACACCAGCACTCCTGATTTTTGGGTCTTTGGATTCAGACTGGGACTTACACTTTTGGCTTCTTGGTTCTCAGGAATTTGAGTTTGGACTGGAACTACATCCCTAGCTTTCCTGGGTCTCTAGCCTATAGATGGCAAATTGTGAGACTTCTCAGTCTCCATAATTCTATGAATCAATCTCTATAATAAATCTTTCTATGTATCTATAATGAATATATCCTATTGGTTCTGTTTCTTTGGAGAACAATAAACAATCCAAAAGTTAGATTAAGAGAGAATTCCACTAAAAATAACATAAAAATACTGAGGAATAAATTTAACAAAGTAAGCATAAGTTGTACATTAAAAACTAAAAAACAGCACTGAAAGAAATTTAAGAAGATCTAAATAAATGAGAAGACATCTATATTCTTGGATTAGAAGACTTAATATTGTTAAGATGTCAATATTTACCCAAATTGATCTGTAAGATCAGTGCAATCCATATCAAAATCATAGCTGACTTATTTGCATAAATTGACAAGTTGATCCTAGGATTCATGTGGAAATCCAAGATCCAAAACAATCTAGAAAAAGAATACATTTGGAGTTCTCACACTTCCAAATTTCAAAACTTACTGCAAAGCTACAGTAATACAGAAGTATGGTACTGGCATAAGGATAAACATATAGATCAATGGAATAGAACTGAGAATCCAGAAAAAAATCCATACGTTTATGGTTAGTGGATTTTCAGCAAGGATGCCAGGACAGTTTGATGGGTGTGGAATATACTATAAAGCATATGTACCTCGCAGGGCCTGGTTTTCCAAAGCCTTGCAGTTTCAAATATTGACCTTGCAGAGAACTGGAAATTTTCCTCAGGCTGTAAAGTCTCTGGTGTAAGATAAAGATTTGTGGCACAGCAAGGTTGCTGGCTCAAGGACAGACTAGTTACTGATTGTTATGTAAAGATACTGAGAAATTGCTGTAAGATCACTTAATTGTCTAATGGAATGTCCTGAGATACGGCTCATCCTAATGGAGAGGTGCTGGAGTGTAAAATACACACAGGATTTGAGGGACTTAGTACAAAACGAAGAGTGGGAAGCGTCCCACTCTATGTACACACCTTACTATATACATACTTATATTTATGGATGTTTATATTAGATATGTTTCCAAATGACAATATTTTGGATATATTGAGTTAAAATACATGATTTATAATATTATAAGTAATATTATATGTTATTAAAATATATATTGAAATAATATTAAGATGTATTAGTTAAAATAATTTCTTTTTTCTTTTTTTTTACTTTTTAAAAACGTGTCATTTAAAATGACAGATGTGGCTTGTACTGAGTTTTTGCAGGACAGCACCATTTGAGAATGCTCCTCAGCGGTGAGTGGCCCTGAGCAGACTGATCAGATGTCCCTGGAGCCAGATGGCCAGATCTTGAGAACACAGGAATGGAGGCACGGGGGCGTGAGATGGCAGCCTGGGGAGTCCCTGGCCCTCCTTCCTCCACGGAAACACTAAATAAACAACTAGAAACCGACTGAAATAACTTGGTAGGAGTCTGGAGATCAGTCAGATTGTACAGGTAGAAGGTAAGCCCTGCTATGGAGGAAAATAAGGCAGGGGAGGTTGCAGGTAGAATCTGTGGGGGCTAAATTCTGAATAAATGGCCAGGAAGACCCACGGAGAAGGGGGAGGACATGGAAGAGGTTCAGGGACTGGCGTCTGAGATGTCTGGGAGGGGTGGGCGAGGCCAGAGTGGGGGCCTTGCACACACTCTGGGGACCTGGCCCTTCCCTGGGATGGGAGAAGGGAGTGGAGCGAGGGCACGTGCTTCATGACTAAAAGGCTCACTGTAGCTGCTGTGGGGGGACGGGGTGGAGGGGAAGCTGGGTCCCGCTGAGAGGCCGGTCAGTGGTCCAGGCGAGAGACGAAGGTGGCTGGCTTGGAGGCGGCAGTGATGGAGATGAGAGAGGGCCCCAGATCCGGGTATATTCTGTACAGGATCTGCTGATGGGCCAACCGGGCCACACTTCAAGGAAGGGTTTGTTACCGGTTACTGACTGGCTTCTCCCCGAGGTCAGCGTTGGCCTTGGCTGGGGACTGTCAGCTGACAGCCATCCCCCATTAAGAGCCTCTCTGGGCTCGGCCCGCCGTCTGCCAGGTCCCACTTCATTTCTCCCTGGGCCGATCCCACATCTTCCCTCCCAGACCCCCGAGCTCCTTGCGCTCCCAGCTCCATCCCGGCGTGGGCTGCTGGCGGACCCACCCCCACCCCACTCTGGCAGGCGGGCAGTGGAGTGTTAGGGAAGGAGGGTCAGGATGACCCGGGAACTTTTGTCCTGAGCAGCTGCTGGCGGGGTCGCTGCAGCCGAGATGGGCGGGGGCTGCTCCTCCCGGTGCCTCCCCTGCGGCCAGCACCCACAAGGTGGCGCTCGGCTTCCGTTCTGTGTCTTACTGACCAGAGAGGCACCGTGGCCCGGGCGGCGTTGTGTGTACCCCACAGGGGCCGGGGCCTGTGAATCTGAGAGAGGAGGAGGAGGGGGTGCTGCACAGCCGAGGGGAGGGGCAGGCACGGCACAGTTTGTCAGCAGATGCGCCTGGCTCCTGGGCGGGGTGTGTTGTTTTGTTTTGCTAAAGGGCAAGACCATGATGCAAAAAGGCCACTGGTCCCTCCAGTTCCAACCTTTGGCCCCGGCGGTAGGCAATGACTTTGGTGGGCTGCTTCTCAAGAGGGTCACCAGGAGCTGGCCCCTTCTCCTCAACCCGTTTTCCTCTCTACAGTGACAGGCTTATTCCTCCGCCCCAGAGTTCAGAAAGCCTGAGCTGTGCCAGATTTTTTTCTGCCATCTGTGGTCCCACTTCCTGACCCTGCAACAGGGGAAACCCCATCTCCATGGTTCATTTCTACCTTCCCTCAGGGTGCGGAAATGTAAACAGACGGGCTTGCCAGGCACTGCAGGACCCTGCCCGCCAGCCTGCTCCTTCTCCCGCATCCTTCCTCTCCTTTGCTCTGGTAGTAAATTGGTGAGAATTAGTTGTCAACACAAAAATCGGAACGTTAGCCTTCAATCCTATTTGGGGGGCAGAAACCCAGTAATGGAGCTGCCTGGGAAAGACCTAGGCCCGACTTATAACAGACACATGAGGGCGTGGGGCAGTGTGGCGGTTCAGGGCTCTGGAGTCTGATTCAGAGCTTGAACATTGTCCCAGCGTAGCACAATTGCTGCCACGTGAACCTCACCACGGCCGCTGCTGGCATGTGCTGTCACCTTCTCTGACCGGCCCCAGGCCTCAATGTCTCCTGGGCCCATCATTGCTGTCCATCTGCCACCACTGCCTGGTCCAGAGCTGCGGTGACCCAGCAGAGGCTGGACCTAGGGCAGCTGGCCCTGTGGCAGCAGCTGCAGCTGTCGCTGGTCCTGGCAGCTGGGCTCTAGGTCCAACACCTGCTCTTGTCTGTCATGGGTGCCTGATTGTCCTTTGATTCAGAAATACAACTTTCAGGATTTGGACTAAAAGAATCAGAGCTGTGGTGCTACTTATGGGCACAGGAAACCAGAAACCACCTAAACAACAGCTGTGATGGTAACGGTGGTGACAACACACCGTGAGCCCACCAGCACCAGGTGCTTCTGGCTGAGTCCTCACAGTAACCCCAAGAGGCAGCCCTTACTTCACAGATGAGGAAACTGAGGCACAGAGAGGTTAAGTGACTTGCCTACGAACTTCTGTGTCCCCAGCCACCAGCCCAACACCTCCCTGAATGTGGCCGGATGTTGGACAGTCCTTAGCATACCCCTCTCCCCGGCAGTTCCTCGTCCAGCCAGGTGGAAAGACACCTAGGCACATGCAGGTTAGGGTCAGCAACAGGCCTGGAGCAGAATTCCGTAGCTTCACCTCTGTGCTGCCCCCTCCTCTTCTGTACTCTGCCCTGCAAATCCCAGCTCCCTGGCCTCCCTGGGGGCAGCCTCCTGGCTGCGCTCTGCTTGGGTTCCTGCTGCCCGCGCTGCAGCAGGGAGCCAGGCGGCCACGGCACCTCCTCACCTGCTTCCTTCTCTCTGGGATCACAGTCTGGAGACTGTGTCCAGTGCCTGCTGGCTGATGTCTGCAAACAGGTGTTTTGTATAATTTGTCCAGTTTCTAAGTGTTTACAGCTGGAGGGTAAGGTTCGTCCAGTAATTTCCATGTGGCTAGAAGTGGAAGCCCTCTGTATATTAAAGAAAATCATGTTAAGAAAAATCCACGTTTTCCTATTTTATTAAGAGGTTTAAAAATTGAGAATCTATGTTGAATTTCTCAAAATCTCTTTTTGCCATCTACTGCGATGATCATGATTTTTTTTTGATCTGTTAATATGGTGTTTTATGTTATTACCTTTCCTAAAATCTGAACATTTTTTTCCCCAGTTGCAAGGCATTTCGTCGACATGGCCTTACTTGATCTATACCATGATCCTTAACGTGGAGTTGTCCTAAGGCTGGATGGAGAGAAAGTGGCTCAGGGAGGGCAGGCAGTGGCTGCCCCTCCCTTCCTGTGTCCAGCCTCTGCAGCCAGTCTTGAGAATATTGGTGTCTTAGAAGGGTCAGGCCAGTTCCAGCCCCAGAGGCTTCCATGTGGGGACAGCCCTGAGGCTCTGGGGCCAGGCCTCACTCCTGGTGGACCAGTCCCTTCTTCTCATGGGTTGGGGGGCTGGGTGGCCTTTTCCTTCGGGTTTGTTCAAGACCCAGAGAAGAAAGCCTTCTCTGTGCTGTGGTCCCCTCCAGGCTGAAATGGGGTCCAAGGCATCCTCATTTCGAAAGGGAGATAATGGAAACCACACTTGCAGTTTTTCTGGCCATTTTCAGCTCAGTAATGCACACTGGGGAGGATCCAGGTGGCTGGGATGATTGGAGCTTAGTCACAGCTGGTACATGTGGGTAGATGACCTTGTCCTTCTAAACCCTGGTCTCTCCCATTGTAAAATGGGAGTAATCATCCCAACCCTACGTGGACAACTGCAACATGGGATGGCAACTCCAGAGTCCTGCTTAGATAAAAGAGGCACTTGCCATCGGCAGAACATGTAAACAGAATCTCATTTACAAAGAGAGAGAAGCATCTTGGTCTCTGCCCTCCGCCTCTTCTCCTCTTCCTGACCCCAGCAGCTGGGGAACTTCTTGCACCATTTGCCTCTGTTGAGAGTGTTGACTCAATCCAGTGTAGACACACGAAGGCCGTGGTGTTAACGTGGAGCCAACACCCTGTCTGGCTCGTCTGTCATGGACACATTCTCCAGTAACGAGGCTGGTGTGTGATGTGCTTGGGGACAGCAGGTCTCTCAGCTCTTCAGTTGTAGAGGTCAGTGGCTCATCCTCAGCAGACGCTGCAGTCTGGCTGCCCTGATCTGCTTTAGGGACTACAGGGGACTCTTATGAGCATCTGCCAGTTCTCAGGAATGTTAGGCCTCAGTGAGGGACCAGCAGCTTTCTGCAGTGGAAAGTATGGGTTCCCAAATCATGGGTCTTGGGGGTCTGGGGAAGAAGGGGTCCATCCTGCCTTGGAGCCTGGGCTGTCTCAGATGGATGGCCTCCCTGGGGCAGAGCTCCCAGCTGGCTTCCAGAATCTCTCAGGAAATTTATCAGTAAAAGACTTATTTTTTATTGTGGTTAAATACACATAAAAGTTACCATTTAACCATTTTAATTGTTCCGCAGCATTAAGTACATTCATGTCGTTGTGCAGCCATCACCACCATCCGTCCATCCACAGAAGCCTTTCTGTCTTGCAGAACTGAAACTATGTATCTATTAAACATAACTCCCGTTCCCCCTTCCCCAGCCCCTGGTGCCCACCGTTCTCCTGTCTCTACGAATATGACTATTCTAGGGACCTCATATAAGCGGAATCATAGAATACTCGTCCTTTTGTGCCTGGCTTATTTTGCTCTGTTTAATCCATGTTGCAGCATGTGTCAGAATCTCCCTCCCTTTTAAGGATGAATAACTTCCATTGTGTGGACAGACCACAGTTTGTTTATCATTCATCCGCTGATGGGCGCTTGGGTGGCCTCCACCTTTTGGCCCTTGTGAATGTGCTGCCATGAATGTGTACAAGTCTGTTGAGTCTCTGCTTTCAATTCTTTTGGGAATACACCCAGAAGTGGAATTGCTGGAAAATGTGGTAATAGTCACTTAACTTTCTGAGGACCTGCCACACTGCTTTCCACATGGCTGCACCACATCACACTCCCACCAGCAGGGCACGAAGGCTCCAGTTTCTCCATGTCCCCCCAACACTTATTTTTTGTTATTTTATGTACATGCAGAAAAGTCAAACAGTTCAAATGGGTGCACACTGAAAAGTCAACCATCTTCCTACCCCGGTCTGCAGTCTCCCAGCTTCCTGTTTCTTGCGTATCATTCTAGATAGTTATGTGCATACACAAACTTATTTGCAATACATCACCTGCCTTTTCACACAGACGGCAGTTTCTGTACAGACACTCCCTCATCCTGGTTACTGGGCGCCACAGCTTATCCTGGAATTAATCCCGCAGCTCCATTGGCCTTGACTTTTTTAACAACTGCAGAGTATTCCTGGTCCACATAGGGTCCTCCGACCAAAGATGACAGCAAACTGGAAATGCAGGAAGCAAGGCCAGGAGAGAAGCAGCCCTGGGCTTGGGGGCCAGACTTGGCTCTTGGAGTGACCAGCCCAGCCGAATTTGGCAATTGTACCACGTAAAACAAAGCATCTGATCAATAAGTCACTTCATGACCAATTAATTATATTCCTTCTTTTTCTCTGACCTTTGGTCTTCTCAACCATGTGGGGCCATCTAAGCAAACAGTGGGATTGATCAGAGCCTGAGGCCATTCTCAGGCCAAACACAGCTGGGGCTCAGCTCAGCTGAGGACGTGCCCCTGTGGGACTGTGGGCATCTGTGTAGCTCTGACCATCTCACAGTGGGGTCCTCTGTCAGCACCCTTCAGGCTTGAGTGGCCGGCCGACCTCCCACGAGAGCATCTTTAAGGTCCTGTCTGGCCCAGAGAGTCTATTATGCTGCGGCGCTACAAGACCCTCTAGTTACTCCCTTAAATGTTAAACATTTAGCATTTCGTGAACTAGTACTTGCACAGAAACATTCCAAAAAGTTAATGAGCAGCCACCATTCCTTTCCCTACATCCAGGCCTGATCCTCACAGGCAGCACCTTGAACTAAATTCAGCTGTCTTTTTTTGGGGGGGGGTAGTTCCCCATTTTTCTTACTTTTTTTTTTTGGTGGCTGGCCTGGACCCTTGACCTTGGTGTTATAATACCATGTTCTAACCCATTGAGCTAACCGGCCAGTCCCACATTTCTATATAATATGTTTATGCTGCCCTTTCTTGGTTTATCAATCTTGGATGCTACAGGTTGGTAGCCAAAGATTTAGCAGTCTTACACACCTCTCCTCCTCCACCCTCCACAAATAGTTACTTTTCTTTTTTAGGTTATACGGGGCTTAGACATTGTGACTGTGTGAAATTAGTCATTTCAGACCCAGTGGCACCCTATAATTAAGTTTCCATTCATTTACATTGTATTTTTTAAATTGAAACATAATTGATTATACATATTTGTACAATATACAGAGTTGAATATCAATACCCGTGTGCAGTATGTGGTGATCAAATCAGGATAATCAGTATATTCGTCAATACACAACACACCGTATTTTTTGTTTCTTCTAGTAATAACTGCTTTATGTTTTCCTTGTTTTGTTTCGCGGGGTGGCTGGCTGGTATGGAGATCTGAACACCTTGACCTTGGTGTTGCCAACACTGCGCTCTGACCAACTGAGCTCACCGGCCAGCCCATGCTTCATGTTTTCACTTGCATAATTCTCTGCATTTATGTACTGAATCCTTCCTTATGTTCTTTCATTTTGCCAGTAGCTCATCCAGTCTCTCTATTTTTGTTTCTGTATTGGAACTCTTTCCTGGCGTCCTCCTTTCCCTTTCTCCCACTTGGGGTGGGTGCTCTCTGGGCCCACAGCAAGTTGGCCGGCCTGGGTCTTACCAAGACCATCCTTCTGGTAGGATCCACTGCTTCCTGGTCCCATGTCTTCCTTTTTCCTTGGTTTCCTCCCGCATTCTGCTTGAGCACATCCTTGAGGAGCCTCTTCGGAGGCACATGGAAGGTGGATGTGGCAGTCTTGGAGCACGGCTGCTCTTTCTCTGGCTCTCCTGTTTTTGAGAGGTGGGTCTCTGTCCTTCCCCTGGACAGCTAATAAAGCACGGAGGAAATGACGTAGGAGACATCTGAGGGTGGGTCCTGCGAGGCCAGGCTGCTGTGCCTGGTTTGCTGGAACATCTCCTTCTGGAGCTCTGAGGCTGCTATGTCCCTGTGGAGCCTGGCCTTGGGGCCATCCACACCACCTGGCAGGCCTGTGATACTGGTCGGGTACCACCAAGGACCTCCGTCAATGTGAGGAACAGACACATCACCCAGCTGCGCCCTGCCAGAGTTCCTGGCCTCCAAAGTCATGAGATATGATAAAAGGGGTGCTGCTTAACTGAGGGGCACAGTCATGCCGTCAATGACCTGGTTCTTACTGCCCCACGTTTTCCCTCCACAGTGTAAGCTTTGTCCAGGGTGGCCCCTGTGCATATGAGCTCCCTCTACCTCTGCTAGGGAGCAGAGGGTTTCCCAGAGCCTCTCAGGTGTCCTTGCTGGCCATGGAGGTCCCCAGGGCGGAGAGCTTCCAACAACCAGGCGTCCCTATGCACACTCCCCTTTCTGTCCTCCCTATGGCTCCCACCTGTGGTGTGTGTGAGAAATCCTATAAACATTGTATGCACACAACTGTGTGTGCAGTTCTTGGGCAATTTAAGGGATCTGGGGATTGTAATAGGCAGAATAATGGTTCTCCTAAAACATCCGCATCCTAGTCCCAGACCCCAGCCTAGCCTGGGCTGAACAACCAAAGCCATCTGGGTGGCAGCTCTCTCTAAGGAAACCTGGGAGTTCCCTTGACAATAGGGGCCCCTCTAAAGACATTTTGGCTGGCTGTTCCCATCTGGTCATACTCCTGGCATCTTCTTGCTCTCGGAATCTGCCAGCAAGTGCTGGTAGCCTCGCCTCGGGCTGCTCTGGTCTTCTCTGCTGTTCCAGCCCCACAGCTCCCGGCAGTTCAGGCTCTGACATGGGCTCTGCACCACCTCCTGCTGGGTCTGTTCCCACCTGTTCAGCCACACTGGGCTGTGCAGTGACCTTCCCCAAGGACTTCCCTGCCTGCAACCGTGCTCCTGGGGCACAGACCCGACTCCTCATCTCCTTTCCTTGGCATCCTCCTGGTCATCGGCCACCCTGGAATCAGCCCACCTGCTGCCCTCCCCCGCCCCCTGGCCCCTCACAGGCCTGACCCAGGGCCTCTGCTGCCCTTGCTTCTCCAGGAGGCACAGGAAGTCTTGTCCAGATAGAACTCACATTGAAGAGAAATATGAAAAGCAAAATGAAAGCCATCTTTTATTCGTACAAATTTATCTTGTAAGTTCAAATTGAAAGTGTTTGCTCATTATGAGGTCAATCAGAGAGGACAGTGCTGCCGCCGCCTGTCACATAGGCTGGGTCGGGGCGTGGCTGACAGCCCAGAGCTTCACCAGCCCCTGGCAGCCTGATCACCCTCCTGTGTGTCTCTTGCTCAGCGTCCCACAACCCCGTGCTGTGAGATAAGAACTAGCCCACCGTAGTTTAGAAGAGCCTCCATGCAATATTGGGACAGCCTTCAATAAAAATCAAAACAGTGCTAGGAAAATATTTCAAAGTTGAATCTCTGACAATATCGAACCACAGGAGGGCAGGGGCGTGTTGTTTTTAATTGCAAATGTCAGAGTCAGCACCAAGAAGCACCCTGAGCTTACAATAAACTCTAAAGCAAGCCAGCCAGCCAGCCAGTCAGCAAGCAAGCAAGCAATCTATTACATAGAATTAAAGAAAAATTAAGATCCCATCTGAAATCTGTGAAGAACCTGTTTGGATCTCAGGGGTTCCACAGAACAAGTTTGGGAAATGCTGCCTCATGATGCCTGCCTGTCCTTCAGTGCTAAACCAGCTCAGGCACCAGCCGTCCTGGCTCCAGGCAGGGTCACCACTCTCCTCCCTCAGCACTCTCTGGAGGGCTCGCATTAGACAGGAATGGCCTTTTACCTCACCTTGCCCTTCACGGGTGGGCGGGGGTCTCACCTGGTATGACCCTCTGGTGCCTCTGCTGAGCTACCTCCGGGCCCTGAAGGCGTCAGGAGCCCAGACCTCAGCTAGCCTTCGCTGGCTTGTCAGCCTCCAACTGGAGGAGCCAAGCGTCTGGTCCTGGGAAATTAAGAACCGCCTCAAACCACATGCATGTCTCTCCCTAAAGTCCCGGGAGATCCCACTGAAGTACTGGGTTCTGTTTGGGCACTCTGCTTTGGGAAATGCTGGTGACAATGGCAATGGCATTAGTAATAATGACTGCGGCTGACGCGTGTTTGTTGCTTCGGTATTTAACAGGCACCTCACCCAGCCTGTAAAGCACGTGTGGTGCTTCCCTCCACTCTGCAAGTGGGGAAAAGAGGACGTGAGGAAGGCATCCTACCCAGGAGCGCACGGCCAGCCAAGGAGCAGAGCTGGGACTACAGCCAGACCTCGGACCCAGGGTGTGTAGGAGATGGGCCACGACACGCCGACAAGGCCTCCTTGAGCCAGGGGAACGTGGTAGCTTCCAGTGTGCTCAAGAGGTGGAGCAGGTGGCTCAACCATGGCTGCCAGCAGCCGGCACAGCCCACTCAGAGGAACGGCTCTGTCTTTGCAGCAAGAAAGAGAATGTATGGATTGTGACCCTCCACCAGGGAGAAGAATGAACTCATTTTCACTCAGATCCCTAGATGTGCTGAGACCAAGCCCTCTGGCTCACAAACACTGCTCCCTTCTGGCCACAGAAGGATTCTTCCATGTGCCAAGTGCTGCAATGGGCACTTGGGGTACGACTGCAGAGAGAGACCTGGCCTTGCCCTCCTACGGCCTTGCCTACTTGGGACAACCTACACTTGCCCAACAACTGGCTCGATTGTGTTGGACCTGCCTCTCTGCCTGGGCTAGCTGGAACCCAGGGCATCAGCTGACGGCTACCACCGCCACACAGCTCTGCGCCCAGCAAGAGCTGTCTCAATTCAGTCTTTGTCTCCCTCTGGGGAAACCCAAGGGAACATGCCTACCACTCCTGCTTAAAAAAGAACCTTGTGCAACGCAAAACTCGAGAAATTGTTGAAGAACAGTTACCAAAATGCATCCTTTAAACCTGCTGTGCCTCCAGAAATACAGGTTGTTGGTAAAATAGATAGATTTCCCATGTATCATTTAAATGTCATCCCTAAAACATATTTCGGGAGTGACCGTTTCTGACTGGGCTCCGCCGGGGGCTGAAGCAGCAGGCTCCATCCTCATCCTCTGACACTGGGAGGATATTGCAAAGGCTGGGCAAGAGCACAGCAGGCGGGCGGAGGTGCTGCTTCCTCTCCCCTCACTTCAGAGCCTGTCCTGTCCCTGGTTTGGGAGGATTAGGCCAGTTCTGTTCAGCCAGGGCCAACCTGGCAGAAGTTAGCGTGTGTCTGCGAGCCAGGCAAGTCCAGCCCAGGACACTCCCTACCGACCCCAGAGTGCACGGGGGCCGCAGAGCCCACACCTCCGTTTTGGATAAAGAGATAGGCGGGACCCTCTCTCCCGGAGGTCTGGCTTGAGTGCCTAGCCTGCTAAGAATCTGTGGCCACTGCCGGCCCTGCTGTTGGGTGAGGTCGCTGCAGCAGAAGGGTGTTCTGAATGAGAATAGGCAGTATTTTAAGACTGAAGCCAGGGCAGTGCACGAAGAGAAGTCTTACTTTAACATCAATATTTTGAGATAATTCTCCTGCTCACGGACCAGGTCCAAACCCCTCATTCTTTCAGGTGTTGGTCATTTAGCTACAATCTACTTTTTTAGTCTTAGTAGCAAGCCCTGTGCCCCAGACCTGGCTGGGCTGTGACAAACATGTTCAGGTCACCTCTCGGCCTTTGTTTGGCTGTTTCAGGACCTTACCATCAACTGCACCCATGGGACCATGTCCTCCTCATCCCTCACACCTGATGAAAGACACGCACTGTGGCGACGCTATTCTTGAGTCCCCAGCAGAGCGAGCTCCCTCCATCCCCTGCATTCCTGTAGCCCTCCCTGCCTGCCCATGCTCCTCTGTGGCCATCACCCCTTCCCCTTGTACTGTCTTCTCTACCCTGTGGGACTGGGAGGTCCCTGAAGGCAGAATCTGCACCCTCCTCCCCGCCCGCCCGTGCTCCTCTGCGGCCATCACCCCTTCCCCTTGTAGGGTCCCTGAAGGCAGAATCTGCACCCCCTCCCCGTGCCCAGCACCCACTGCTTCACACGCTGCGCTGCGCATGCAATGCACATGTCTGCTGACTGACAGATGCGATGGCAGTCTGCTCCAAGGGCCTCCCTTGTGACACAGTGGGAGGCCCTCCGAAACACCAAGCTCAGTGTTCACTGCCTTCTTCTACCAAATCTGAAGGTGGAGGGATGAGGTCTCGGGGGTTCATCCTGGCCACCAGGCACACGTCATAGCTGTCATGCATGAGGACGTTGATGGCTACCACGTTCCATTGGTTTTCCCATGGATCCAGCTCCAATATTTCTTTGGAGATAACCTCGTGGCGATCTGAAAAACAGCAAAGTGGGAGACAAAATATCACAGGGGTATTAAGTTCAGAGGTCATTGTATTAAACAACTTCCTCTAAAAAGCATCAAAAAGTAATAAACTGAAGGAAGATGTAATAGAAGACACCATGTTCCTATCACTGAAGAAACTGAGAGAGGCCACTTACAACCCACATGTAAAAATCATTCAGGAAGTTCTGACGGGACACACAACTGTCTTAGGTGGAAAGGATGTTCCTGTGCCATGCCAGTGATTCGGTGACGATGTGAGCACGGGATGAAACTGCCCTTATTCTACACCCATGAGAGGCGGCCCAGCCGGAAACATGTGACCTTGTGCTGGTTGCTGCCCTCCCTGAGAGATGGAAACACAGCTAGGATCCTTGCAGAAAATAGATGGTGCAGGCAAATGGGGCAACTTGGAGAGTGTTTACTCCAGGACTCCAGGCAGTAGGCAGCACTGCACCCAGACCTGAAGGCAGGGAAGGCATGGGCATCGTCTGCAGAGTGCTGTCTCCTCAGCAGGGAGAATTCATACTCTGTGCTTTGTACTTTTGTATGTGATGGTTAGTCAGGTGGGCCACGCAGTGAACCAGGAGGGGCTCAGGAAAACAGTTTATTAAGCTCATAGATCCCAGAGGCACAGGCACGGCATGCCTGTGGGAAAGATGCTGGGTGGTCAGGAGGCAGAGGACAGGGGCCAGGGGAAAGGTTAGGCCTCCCCCAAAATTAGGTCTCTGCCTATTGGTTTTTTTTAATGTAAGATATTTTCTTCTGATTTTCTCAATATTCTTTATTTACTGAAAGGTATTTAAAACACCGTTAGTTTTAATTTATTTATCTTTTTTCCAAGCATCCATTCAGTCGCTTGTTCACCCACTTCCTCACTGAGCACCTCCTGTGAGCCAGTTGCTCTGCTGGGGATGGACACATCACAGCGGACAGTCCGGGTCTCAAAGCGCCTGCTGCACACACTGCTAACTTCTAGGCAAGCTGCCTCTCCTGGGAGATTCAGAAGGGTGGTCCTGGGGACCATGTGCCCCTCTGCTGCCCAGCCTGGCTGGTGCAGCCAGGGGTGAGCACTGACTCAAGGCGAGGGTGTTAATTTCCTGCCTGGCCAGCAAGAACATGGTGCAAAAAGTAGGACTGAATCAACCAGACTCTTTCTCTCTGGGATTTCAATCTGGAAATACCAAGGGAATGAAGCAGCTATGTGTGACAGAAAAATGAAAATGGCAACTATACAGATTCTGCTATTTAGTTCTTTAAAAAAAACAAAACTGCTGACCCCTGACATAGAGCAAGACCTGGGAGGTCAAAATGGGCTATGTCTAAGCCAAAGTAAGTCAGAAAGCAGAAGCCATAAGAAAGCAGAAGCCAGGAGGTAGAGCCGTGAGTCTCAGTGTGGCCTCAAGATTTCCCAGGGTGACTCAGCACCACTGGGTGGGGATGGTGAGGAGAGGGCCCAAGGGACAGGCACCACCTCCCGCCTTTCTCACTCTAACCTGTTTTATAGACTGGGCCTCTGTTTAAGGTTCATCCAAATAAAGGGTTCTATTGATAGTAGAAGTTTGGAAACAACCGAGGCAGAGATCAGAACAGAGTCAGCGAGACAGGCAGTCAGAGAGGGGAGTGACAGCCCCAGGGTGGCTGGCAGGCACAGAATGCCTGCGTTGTGTGTGGGCCAAGGTCTAGGGTAGCTGCACTGCTGTGTTTAGCGTCCTGTAGACCCAGAGCCACTTTTGAGTCTGTCCTGAGGCTGGGGGGTTGTGGTTATTTTTTCTCCCCTGGAACCCCGTGCCCAGACATCTTTCCAATAAATCTTCCTATGCTTGAGGAAGCTTGAGGAAGTACATGTCCTTTGCAACTGAAAGAGCTTAACTAAAACAGAAATAAAGATGAACATGACACGTGTGGTACAGTTCCGGGTTTCAGAGCAAAGGCTTTGAAACCAGACTGACTGAGACTGAATCCAGCTCTGCTACTGGGAAATAGGGTGACTTGGAACAAATTACTTCATGGTTCTGTGCCTCCTTCTCCTCATCTGTAAAATGGGTCTATTATGACAATACCTGCCTCACAGAGTTGATCTGAGGATTACACGAACAATTGCAAATGTATTATACGTGAAGTCCCAAGAGCAGTGTCTGACATATATCGAAGGTTGGCTGTTGTACTATTAATATTGTGGAAATAACAGTCCAGTGGGAGGGAGAGGTGTGCAGATGGGCCCACAGGGACATACAGACACTAGCTGGACCTAGATGGGAGAGAAGGGTCTAATTACACTTGCGTTTCCTGACCTTATATACAGAAACCCTAAGTTTTCCTTTGTGCTTTAGTCTATATCCTCCTTTTGACGGTGTAAGAAGTTTAAGTGGGATACTTCTTTTTTGAGTTTGTATAGTCTTCTGATATTTTCTAATGCCAGAAAGAATGTGCATTCCAGTAAGTTCTCTCCACGCTCTGGCCAGTGTCTTCAGCTTGACCTGTGCCCACCAGAAAGGCCTGTCTTTGACTTTCAGTACAACAGAGTTCCCACAGACCCTTGAGGAGTTTATCCCACGTTTCATGTTGCTGAGGTCGGTCAGTGTGTTGACGTATATTTTGGGACTTGAGGTTCGTTTGTTTTATTAGGTTTTGGGAAAAGATTCTGTAATCCAGTGTCCTGCCGTCTCTCCTCAGAAGTTCCCGGCTTTCTCTCCAGCGTCTTTGTGACACACACAGGTGTAAGACAAACCATCTTTTTTATTTGACACCTGAAAACTCCTAAATCATTCTTCCTAACTTGCAAACTGGAGTCATACTGGATTCACATAATTAATCTGAAATGTGTCCTGTTCAAACAACAATAACACAGGAGTAAATCCATATTTATAGAAGTAATTCTATTTGTGCCAGAATCTCTTATGTTAATAATAATTACTACTTATTGAATACTGTTAGGTGCTTTAAATGTATTATCTCGTTTAGTCCTTTGAACAACAATCTGAGGAAAGATTTATTATTTTCTCCATTTTGTAGAAAAAGTAACAGGTCCAGAGAAACGGATTACTTGCCTAAGGATTTACAACTGGTAAGTGGCAGAACCAGGATCTGAATAAACACATGAAAAATGGTACCTTGAGACAGTCTGGAGTCTAAACCCAGAATGTGTATCAGATGATAGAATGGGTATCAGGTGAATTACATTAATTTTGCTAGGGGTGATATTGGCATGGCGGGTGTATGAAAAAATCCATGCAGTTAAAGAAGGATGCTGAAGTATTTACGGGTGAAATGGCCTGATTCTTAAATTTGTTTTAAAGCACTTCAGATAAAAACAAAAGGAAAGAGAAGAAAAAAAAGTTTGTTGGGGCATAGTTAAAATAAGATGGGCAAAACTGTCGAAGCTGGCGTGGTCATATGGATTTAAGTGCACTGTTCTTTCTAGTTTGGCATATAACGTGAAATTTCTAAAGCAAAAAAACCAACAACCAAAAAAACCAAAACAGGATTAGTATGATTTTGATTTGATTTATATTAAATTTGTGAATCAAATTGGGAAGTATTAACTATTTAACAGTTTTCCTAATCAGAAGCATGATATATTCCTTAATTTGGGGGGTATGGAGAGTGTTTTATATCTTTCAATG